TGCCTGTTCTTCAAAATAGGAGTCAGTCGAGGAAGAAGATTCTTGATCAGCGGTGTCATCTTAGTCATGCCAATGACATTCACAATAGCTTTCAGTGCTCCAAGAATTGAACCCAACACCTCAGGGTACTCCTCTCCCAAATACTCATACAGCACAACACCCAAGTGACCCATAAGCTGCTCCTCCTGGCAATGTTTCATTACAATGGCTATCCTTGAGATCAGATCAGCAGCTTGCTGCCTAACTTTTGCACTCTTGTTGTTCAACCGCCACTTAATGGTACCACAAATCTGAGGAAGGTAAGGCTTGACCCCCTGTCCCAGTGCATTGACAACAGCCCCAAAACCATTAAGCATGACATTTGCATCGTCACTTGCCTGCTCTTGGAAAGCATACAAGATGCCATCAATAAGCAGCTCCTCCAAACGAGCATCAATATCTGAAGCACCCAAATTAGCCACTACCTTCTCAACTGTTTCCATTACCATTCTCCTGTAAGGTTCGCTTTCATCTTTCAGATCCTCAACAATCCTCCCAACAATATCAGCAACTCCAACCTTATTTGCCATCTCTACCGTTGTTTCCACAAGCTGCTTATAGTTCCTGCGGTCCAGAGCCATTCTCCTAACCCAGAAGTGATGGAAAAATTCAGGAAGGATGTCATTCCAGATATAATCAGCCTCTACACCCTCTGTACTGACACACTGTTTAACAACCTTCAGGACAATCTTTTTCATCTCTTCATCTGGTGACTGGAACTCCCTAATCAGGATTTGCATGACCTCCTTTGTGTAGTAACTGGCATACAGCGCATCCATAAGAGGGATGATAAAACCAATTGCTTTCAAGAAGGCAGCAAGAACCTTTCCACGGTTAGATCTGATACCCTTCCACAGAGGCTTCAAAACAGTATCAAAACTTTCTATACCATATGGTGCAGCAGCCTCAGCAAGTGCAGCAAGAGAAAGGGCAGTGATTGTCCTCACTTTCTGGTTCTCGTCACTAAGACCATGCTCAATGATCTCGACTACGGACTCGAGATGTGGCAGAACAGCGCAGCCCATAAGAATAGCAATCTGCTGAACAATCTTGATACCAGTGTGCCGAGCTTGCCAAGACTTCTTACTCTGACAGACAGCCTTTAAGAATGGCAGGAGAGCAGGGATACCCAAAGCAGAAGCCACCACACTAAATGCTCTAGCAGTGGTATTTCTCACATACTCATCAATGTTATCAATATCTGGTCTCATGGCGGCAATCATAGTAGCAAGACCAGCAGCTTTGCTAAGATTTGAGATGATCTCCCGGCCCTCAACACGAGCGTAGTAGTCCTCATCAATCAGAAGTGGTTCGATGACCACAAGAATCTTGTGCACAAATGGACGGACTAGCTCATCCAGCTTATACAGTACCCTGTCAATGACCTTCACTAGAAGATGACGCTCCTGGTCCTCAAGTGTTGGCTGCATGAGCAAGGGTAGAATCTTGTTGAACAATGGGCCAGCACCAAATTCCCTTGCTTTGTCTGTCAGCTGTCGAAGTGCTGTCTTCCGCTGTGGGGGTGTGCCATTCTTCACCTTGAGCAGGAGCTTCATGATCTTCCTCTCCTTCTGCTCTTCTGGAGATAGCTGCTCCCCCTCCTCCTCATTCAGCAATGTTCCAAAGTACTGGTAATCCTCTGGCTTCATGAAGGGCAACCCACCAGGCAACTCCTAGGGCACATCAAACTGCTGCCCACGATTCTCCTCAGGAATAGCATACAATGGTGTGCCCAATGGTGTCGGTGTAACGAGCAGCTTTCTTGCTGGTGTGCGTATGGGCTGGTATGAAGCAGGAGGTTCAAGAATCTTGTACCCTTCCTGAGGGAACATAGTATCAAGCTCCTCATCCGTAAGAGGCCTGTTCCGCTCCTCAATGTCCCGCTCCCACCGCAAGAGCTGGTACTGCTCTGGAGTCATTGGACCACGAGAAGCAATCTGGCCGGGGTGTTGGCGTCGCAAGGTTGTCACCACCAAATGGCGTCGGACCAGGAGTGTAACCTGCAGGCGTCGCAGCACCAGTGCCTCCAGGTGTAGCACTACCCATACTAGCAGGAGTCTCATCCCATCTCGATCTCTGCTTCTTGGGTGTTGGCGTGACAAGCCCACCAGGCAGCTTAGGAGTAGCATCCCAAGCTCCAGAAGGTGTGGCACCTGGAGTAATGCCACCAGCTGCAGGTGTTGCATCCGCATCGGCCATCCTCCCAGGAGTTGGTGTCTCATCCCACCGATTCCTTCTCACCGACGGCGTCGCATCCCCGACACGACCAGGGGTGGCATCCCAGCGCCCAATCCCAGGAGTTGCATCAGGAGCATCCCAATCGGAGGAGGTCTTCGCCTTCTTGGATCCAGAAGCAGCAGAAGCATCACCATCTTGCGACTGATCCCATCTATTGCTGCGCCGACTGGCTGCTGCTCAGGCAAGGCCTTCTTCTCCTTGGCCTTCTCCTCTTCCTTCTTCTTCTGAGCTATATCACGCAGCAGCTGCTCCTTCTGCTTCTGCAGGTCATTCTCGCGCATGGCATCAGCATAGGTCCGCACGGAAGGGTCCGGGGTGGCCTCACCGGCGGCGAAGGGATGTGGCGCTCCGGCGAGATGATGCGGGCCAGCCGGCGGCGGCGATAGTCATCCTCGCGGTCGATGATGCGCTGCGACTTCTTGGGGAGGCCGTCGTCCTCGGCGGCGCGGGGGATGTCGGCGGCGGCGACGGCGTGGCCGGTGTAGGAGGCGAGGCGGCGGGCGGCGGGGTTGACGGCCGCCTCGGAGTCGTCCTCGGAGGCGGGGATGGAGGTGTCGTAGCCGGCGAAGCGGTTGGGGTCGGAGCCGCCGCCGCCGTAGAGATCGGTGTCGAAGGTGACGGAGGAGACGGCCATGGGCGCGCCGGCGGCCAGGGCCTCCTCCATCTTCTTGCGCTCCTCCTGCGCCCGCGCGAGCTCCGCGTCGATGGCGTCCATGGCGACGGCGCGGGGGAGAGGCGGTTAGGGTTTGGGGTGGAGAGATTGCACGAGGCGAGAATGGGGGAGGATTGAGTTGTGGTTCAAGATAAAACTTCGTGACACGTTGTCACGTTGATGCGTCATCGGGCACGTTCGGAGTAAGTCCCGGGTCCACGATACATATGTACGAGTTTGATACATGGCACGTTTCGGCAGAGATTGTATCTATCCATCTTTCTAAAGATTTATACGTTGATATCACACACAGATTTTTAATTTTTAGATTAAAATCTAATAGACACAGGATAAAAAACAAAAAACAATTAAGAAAAACCATAATGGACACTAATTACCATATATTCATGAAAAAAACCAAATCCAATATAAATTTCAAATTATATGCGATTCAAAATTACACCATCTCTTATAAAAGTTATGATGTAAGTTTCATGAAAATATTACAAGAAAATATACTGTAATTTTGAGTGAGACAATTGAATGAGAGATAAGAAAAAAAAATCTTTTAAGTGAGATATAGAAAAATCGTTTTGGATATGCATCATTCTTTAAAAACCGGTTTCACTGTAATATCATTTTTAAACGCGAGCATTCGCTATAATATTGTTTTCTTTTTTTATTGCATTTGCAAACATTTTTGTCCAAAGCATATGCAATCTCTCTCTGACCACGTACTCATGATCGAGACCGAGCCGAGCGAGAGGAGAGAAAGGCGAGGGAAGGGACGACCACATTAGTATCGTCACTCACTAGACACGTTGCCACCTTCCCCCACTATCCACGAAAGATGTGGTGAAAGGAGGCAGGAGATATTGCTCGAGTAGGTTGCTGCTTCTTGCTGCTCCTACCTCTCTTGTCTCATGGCGTGGCATGCCACTGGGCTTCTCCCTCTCGCCAAAGAAACAGACGTTGTGGTCGTCTCCCAACAAAACCTTCTCCATCTCTTTCACGATGACTCTAATGGCACCACAGATGACGAGGGAGGGGGCGCAGTCAAGTAAGACGGCGGAGCAGGTTGTGGGCAACGCCGACGAGGTTGGGGAGGGAGAAGTGGCAGGGATGGTAAGGGAAGGTGGCTAGGGCTATAAGTGGGTCAGCCGCGAACCCACTTATAGGTCAAAATAAGCGGTTTCGCGACTTATTTTAGCCTATAAGTGGGTTTCGCGGGTTAGCCACTTATACCCCTAAAGGTGGCAGCGCAGAAGACAAATGAGGTAGCGCGACTCAGTTGGGGAAGGAAGTGACGCGCTCGGTTGGGTAATGCGGCGGAGTTGGTGTAATCACCCCTTCATTCAGCCTTCTATCCTAGTATTGCTCAGCTCGGTCTCGATCGTGGGTGCATGGTAGGGCTGTCAACGAGCCGAGCTCGAGCGAGCTCGTCTGCCCAAGCTCGAGCTCGACACAAGCTCGAGCCGAGCCATTGCACCTTCGAGCTTTTAGGCAAGCTCGGTTCGAGCTCGAGCTCGGTGCCGAGCTCGGCCATAAGTAGTATAATATATATTTTAATAATAATCTCTTGATAAGTATAATTATTTTCTAGTTAATCACACTAATAAAAGAGTAGAAAATGATTAAAATAAATATATTGTGCTAACACATGCTAATTTATTGTGTAAATAGATACAAATATATATATTTATCTATTAGTTTATTATATTAATAAGGTGAACATGCAATATAAACTATACACAGCCAAGCTTGGTCAGGCTCGGACGCTCGGTAGAAGCTCGAGCTCGGCTCGGTTAAGCTCGCGAGCTTTTGCTCAGACTCGAGTTCAGCTCGTTTGGAGCTCGAGCCGAGCTCGAATCAAGCCTAGGACGAGTCAAGCTCGAGCTGCTCGTGAGTCTCGAGCTTTTTTGACAGCCCTAGTGCGTGGTCCAAAGAGAGAGATTGCATATGTGGTTTGGTTCAACAACAGTAAGGGGCAAAAACGTCCGATGAAAAAATATTTGAATGAAAAATATTTTGTAAGTAAAAAAAACAACGAAAATAGCATTGTGTCGAATGCTTACAATTAAGACTGACATCTAAGCGAATCACACGCAAAATTCTTAGGCACTAATGTGGGAACGCGAAGTAACTAACTGGTTAATTTAGTACATAGGAGTATTTAGGATGGATTACTATTAAATCCCCAAAACCCCGCACCACCGCGTCTCAAAAAAAAAAAAAACGCACCACCGGCGCGGTCGGCCTCGCCGATAGAGAGGCCGCGCGCGGAGGGCGAAATGTGGAAGAAGATCGCGGCCGGCGCGGCGGAGGGGGAGACATGGAAGGCGCTCGCGGCCGGCGCGGCGGAGGGGTGGCGCGGTCTGCTGCCGAAGACGGCGTCCGCCACCACCAAGCTCGTGCCCGATTCTTCTCCAAAGTCGGCGACGCCGACCGCGGCGCTCAACCTCGTCGCCGACGCGGTGGCGGCGTGGCGCCGCTGGCTTCGCTCTCCATCAGCGAGTCCCACCGCGAGGTGTGTATACCCTCCTCATCAGCTGCCGTGGAGGGCACCGCCGGAGAAACAAGCCCCCCCGTCTCCGACGCAGCGTTGGAGGTGTGGCGTCGTTGGCTACGCGCGTCGACGCGGCGCTCGCTCTCCTCGTTCATGGATCAAGCTTCGTCGGAGACTCACGCGCCCCCACCAACTCCACGGCCGTCTCCACCACGTGTTCTCCCGCCTCCTCCATTGTCTGCTGCACGGAGGGCGAAGGGGTGTCGCACTGCTGCTTCGTCGGCATCTCTGTCACGCAACTACTCGACGTCGTCGACGAACTCGCAGTCCCCTCCGGAGCCCCGCGACAGGTTAACTCTTCAGAACTTATATAAATGATGCTTCCTCTAGCGATATTTTCTCTCATGTCCTTTTTAATTTGTACTCTCCAAATTGCCCCACATGGTTCATGGCCCATGTCCAAATCTGTGGTGCAAAGTCAGACGGGATAGACTAGGCACCCATTATATGATCTGATCCGCAAGCTTCCCTCCATTGATGCCCTCCCGGAGCTGAACGAAGGAGGAAGGAGGAAGGACGATGCCGTTGGTGTTGGTGTTCAGAGTATCTCTGACTAAATCGCTTATCTCTGAACAAGGGAAGGAGGAAGGACGAGTATTGTGGATTTCCTTTGGGTTGGGAATGGGTTGAATCCATTTTTCTGCACTTGGTTTGGGTTTGCTCTGTGAGTGGATTGGATTGGTTTGGTTTCTGCAAGCTATGAATTGGATTGGAATGGTTTAGAAGTGTACTGTAGAGACAAGTGGTCTGGGGCGGTTCTGGTCTGGATCTCAGTCCATTAGCAGGCTTATTATCATGGGTATTCAGTTGAATGCAATTATTTTTCTGCTTGATGAATCAGTGGTGGACGCAGGAAACAACTGTTGAGTCAACAGCCCAGGATTTTGTTCAACATTAAATTCCAATAGAGACAGCTAGTGTTAAAAGAGTTTTTTCTCCAATATGTCCTAACTTAATTATTGGTTTGCAGCTGCAGAGACGACAGATCATTGGACATATGGTATACTGCTAAAGAATTTGTCAAGAAGTATCCAGTTGTACTCTTTGCTCAGCCTACAGATACACACTCTCAGTTCCACAGATGGGTATACCAGGAGTGGTTCAAACCCACGGTAAGAAGCTTGCTTAAGTGTGTCAGTGATCACCATGCTTCCAATTTGGAGTTTCAGGAGATTACTACGGAGAATGTCAAGATATTTTGCAATGCTGATGCTCCTCAATTTATTCCCCGAATCAAAATCTACTGTGAGACCAGAAAAGCGACTTATGAAGGGAGAAAGCAGAATTTTGTGCAGACAGGGGAACTGATAACAGAGTTGATAAAATCTTCTGTGGACAATCCAACTGAGGTTTTGGACCTGCTCTCTGAGGACATAAAAGATAAGCTCAGTATGTTGAAAAATCCTGACCTGTCTCATGATGCTGATCCACGGCAGTGTGGAGTTTATATCCTTGTGAATCATCCGTCCATGCTACGAAGGGAGATGCAATCTCCGTTTTACCTTGCCTGTTATGATTTGCTAATGAGTGTGGATAAAAGAATTGCAAACAGGGCATTCAGGAAACTGCCTTATAAGAACTGGCAGTCAAGAGCCCTGCAACACCCCCTGCTCAAAGATCATCTCATCAATAGACGGTCTAGCTATGGCAGAGACAAGTATCACCAAGCAAGATATCATCGGAATGTGGCAAGTCACAAAACATCATGGAAATCCAAGTACAAAGCTGAAGAGGTCGACGAGATTATCCACCACCACTTTCCGATGATTTTAACACGTCTGATGAAGGTCCTGTCAAAGATGAAGTTGCTGATACGCCTTACCCTCCACAACTTCTTTGGATAAAGAATGCTGTAGTGAATCTACTGCAGTAGCAAAGCTCAACTTCTTCATGTAGGAAAGGCCATAGTGATGCAACTTTTTAACAAAGCTGAATCTGCAGATACCCCATGACTTCTTCGGCTAAGGAAGGCCACTGTCAAGCTATTGCTGTAACAAATCTGAATCTCTTATACCAGAACTGGTGTTGTCTGCCGCACCCTCACAACTTCTTGGAGTGGGGCCGAAACAAATGCAAAAGCACTTCATGCTTATTACGAGTAGGTTTTGTCTCATTAACTTTTTGTTCTTTAGGCCCCAGTTATATCCAATTGTCTGAATCCCTATGCAGGTTAATTTCCTGGGTTCATGTAACAATGCAAACCCATGATTTTGCTTCATATCAACATAGCTAAACATGATATTTTTCTGTCGACATTTCTTCTGATATGCCAGAAATATATATTTTTCTTTTGACTTGATACAATTAATTTTCCCTAGGCATGTTTGCAAAGCCTTCCTGTCCGTGTCCAAGAAAGACTCGCATTTTATCTAACCACTGTACTTACACAACGGAGGTCTGCACCTGAGGTGCATTAATCGCTAGAATTACTGAATGAACTACGGTATACAGCATAAGACCTTTGTTACATTGTAAGATCTGATAGCGTGACAAATGTTTGTGTAACCTTATAATACAGCTAAATCTTTCATTTAGGCTGATGACTATGTGGAACGCGTCGAATCTTCAGGTACCAAACTTGACTGCGCCTGGAGATGAGCCCTCAAAAACAATTGGTAGGTACCCAGTAGCTGCGAGAATGGATTCTAATCCCTCGGGTTTAAGTTAATCTGGAAAACACAACATGATAGTATCTGTGTTAGAGTGACATGCCATGAACGTACAAACATTACAAGGAATCGCAACTAACCTGGCAAACCGAATCACAACTAACCCGGCAAATCATTGCAAGAAGTTTGTTAGCTTCTCCACAAGCAGGTGTCATTTGGCCCATTACCCAGCAAGGTGCTCCAACAATGCGATTCTCAACCTGCATAGTTGTCACCAATGGATGACTCACTTTAATAGTAGAAGATTAAGTTATGGACATAAGACATAACACAGTATGAAGCTACATCCATTCATTTGTTAATAGTTTACCTATTGACAGAGTAAGGGGGTCACAGAGTATAGCAATATATCTTGGAGCAGTATTTAAAACTACAGGCAAGAAAAGAACATGAATTGATGTCAACTAGCATGCCCAGTTAAGTTAAATATGTAACAGCGAGGTAGCTGCTGCAGAACTTGAAATCTATTATATTATTAAAGGAATAGAAAAAGGAGCCTCCACGTTCGCTCTCAAGGCCTATAAATTCTCACATTAATCGGAGAAAAAGAAAAAACAGTGTCCATATAGAAATACAATTTAGAAATAGCTGAAATTCAGAATTAAAAAATAAGGAATATTAGAAAAGGAGACTAGAGTCCATATAGAAATACAATTTAGAAATAGTTGAAATTCGGAATTAAAAAATAAGGAATATTAGAAGAGGAGACTAGAGTCCATATAGAAATACAATTAGGAAAGAACTAAAATTCGGAATTAAAAATAAGGAATATTAGAAGTAGAGCATAGAGTCCATATAGAAATACAATTAGAAAATAATAGAAATTCAGAATTAAAAATAAGAAATATTAGAAGTAGAGTATAGAGTCATATAGAAATATAATTAAGAAAAAAAATAGAAATTCAGAATTAAAAAATAAGGAATATTAGAAGAGGTGACTAGAGTCCATATAGAAATACAATTAGGAAATAACTGAAATTTGGAATTAAAAATTAAAAATAAGGAATATTAGAAGTAGAGTATAGAGTTCGTATAGGAATTTAAAACTAACTAAAATTCGGAATAAAAAGGAGCCTCCACGTTCGCTCTCATGACCTAAAAGTTCTCCCATTAATCGGAGAAAAAGAAAAAATAGAGTCCATATAGAAATACAATTTAGAAATAGCTAAAATTCGGAATTAAAAAATAAGGAATATTAGAAGAGGAGACTAGAGTCCATATAGAAATACAATTTAGAAATAGTTGAAAATCGGAATTAAAAAATAAGGAATATTAGAAGAGGAGACTAGAGTACATATAGAAATACAATTAGGAAAGAACTGAAAATCGGAATTAAAAATAAGGAATATTAGAAGTAGAGTATAGAGTTCATATAGAAATACAATAATAGAAATTCGGAATTAAAAATAAGGAATATTAAAAGTATAGTATATAGTCCACATAGAAATACAATTAATAAAAAAAAAGAAATTTGGAATTAAAAAATATTATAAGTAGAGTATAAAGTGCATATAGGAATTTAAAACTAACTAAAATCCGAAATAAACATAATAAAATCAAAAGTAGAGTTTAGAGTCCGTATAAAAATACAATTTACAAACAACTAAAATTCGAAATTAAGAAAAACATGGGAAGAAGAGTTTAAAGTCAATATAGGAATTCAATTTAGAAGTAACTAAAATTTGAAATTAAAAATTAAAGAATATTGAAAGATGAGTTTAGAATCCACATAGAAATACAATTAGAAATAATAAACATTCAGAATTAAAAAAAGAAATATTAAAAGACGAGTCTAGAGTCCATATAGGAATATATATAATTTACAAATAACTAAATTTTGATATTAAAAATAATTAATAACTAACACGTATATAAAATACAATATGAATATTACACATTAGTAGTTTCGTAAAGTTATTGCAAAATTTAAAATTATGTTATCATTGTAATATATTTTAATAATATAATGAGAAAACATATATGCTATTATATGAGAGAAAATATAATGATGCTAGCCGCGCAATTTGCGCAGGCCACCATACTAGTTTACCTAAAAGAAACAAAATTAGTGATATAACATAGATTTTTAAGTCAATCATTCGCAGCAGCAATAGCAGATACACTGGCAACCTCCACTGATGCAGTGCCGAAGAGGCTGATCAATTAACACGTGGAAGGAAATTGTGTGAAAGACTTTGTTCTTGTTTGTGATTATCAAACAATCAATTGCCCAAATGTTTGTGATTAACATGGTGGCATGTCTGGCTACAAAGAAATGCCAAGATTTTCAGACATCAACAACCGAACACACATCGAGCAGCCCAACAGATTAATGAAGACATTCAAGAATATGAATTCGTGTTCCAGCCTCCCTGATGTAGTCTGCTTTTCTGCTTTTTTCTCTTTCTCCACTTCTGTCTACCATCTATCTCCCTCCCCCATTTTCGCTTTCTTCTCGCTTGCTGAAGGCGGCTCTTTTACGTCTGTACTAATACGCTGCTAATCGATTTGTAGACCCTTTCTCCCTCTCTAATATATTGGGCAATACTCTTGCCGCTTTCACCTTAAAAAAAAGCCCAAATGAGCCGTGAAGCATCCAACTAAATATAGGTTATATTTTTTGTTATCAATGAGCTATGAAAGAGTGATAAATACAGAAGCCGTAAGAAATCATAACATTGCAATAAAAGGAAAATGAGGTTTGGTCATAAACAACATACAGTTTTGTAACTACGACGCTGCTCCAACTTCAACATATGCTAATTGCCTCGCCTATATATGCTACTCCCTCCGTTTCACAATATAAGTCGTTCTAGCATCAATATGAATGTGGGAAAACATCAATATGAATATGGAAAATGCTAGAATGACTTACATTGTAAAACGGAGGAAGTACCATAGCTTCTGCTTGATATTAAGAGCTAAATTGCATATGCCAAAATAAACTATTACTTTATTTCCCGAGAACGCCGTCGCCGGGGATGGCCAGCCGCTTCCATTTGCTCTTAAGATCCAATGTTTTGACGCGCCGGTGCCTGTTAAGGGAGGCATTATAGACATTATATTTTTCTTGGTGGCTGACTGGGCTGAAAATGAGAGGCTATCTTTAATGGGCCGGGTCCACTTCGTTCACAAAGGCGCTGGGCCTAAAACGCGTGCAGCCCAAGAAAACGGCCCACTACCCTCACCATCTCCCCCCAACCCTCGACCGATGTGGTGAAGTCCCAAATTTCTCCGAACATTCCCCACCTCACCGCCCAAAACCCGCGCCCATTCCAAAACCCTCCGCCGCCGCCGCCGCCGCCGCGGCCGCCGGCGAGGCCTCCATGGCCACCACCACCCCCGCCGCCCGCAAAATAGCCGGCACCGAGGTCCCCATCCCGGGCTCGGACAGGGTGCGGTGGATCGAGCTCACCGTCCCCTCCACCCCGTCCCCCTCACCGGAGGGCGATTCCGATCCCTTCGTCCTAGTGCCCCCGCGCGCCGCCTCGGGGTTCCACGTCGTCTCCTCCGGCGACTCGCAGTGCTATCTCGCCTGGTACGCCGGTGTCGCCTCCCCCTCACTGACTCGAGCTCCGTTGGCGTTGGGTTTTCTCAGGAATTAATGCTGTGTTAGAGCTAGTGGTAGGGCTGAGATAGCTGGAGTACTATGGAGTTTTGTGCAGTGGAGTTGATTTTGGTCTTATTCATCTGGTACTTTGTGGGAATACACTGCACACTCTGTATTGCGGTGGTTAACTGGTTGCTGTGATGCTCCGAGGAACACTAAGTCTGTGATAGCTTCAGCTAAGCAGTCAGTTAGTTGATTTGTGCAAATTCAATCCTGTATTATCCTGCATTGTACCGTCGCACTGTAGTTGAGGGTAAGCTCTAGTGCATTTCATCGAAAATATACATGACACCACAGGGCAGTGAGCCAGTGACATACTGGCATGGTGACAAATTATAACTGGTACAACCATGATATTCAGGAATGTTATCATCTGACAGAAACTTATGTGCTGTTATCATCTGACAGAAAGTTATGTGCTAATAGTTCAGTAGAGTTCCTTAACGATTCAATTTTTAGGGACATTTTGACAAAAGAAAGTCCTATACTGTCATGGTTGATGAGACCTAGACACTAAATTTCTAGGGACATCTGTTAAACTCCTTGCAAGTACATGAGTTCATACATTTCCTACACTGTTGTCTTCCACCGATGAAGAATGTTGAACAAAATACCTTGTCAGATGACCTTCTATTAGCTAGCTAATAAGCACCATTTAGATGTATTTGCTTTAAAGCTAGGAATATGCTATGCTAAATTGCTAATATGACACATTTACTGCTGGATGTATTTTTCTTTCTAAAGAAAGAAGATGGTTTCTGTTGCAGGAGGTTCCATGAGGAACAACAAAATGTTCTAGAGGTTATTGATCTCTGTGCTTTCAAGGAGTTTCCAAGCTCTGGACTGCGGTTGGTATTCCAGGAGGAGCTATGCCCGTTTTCCTTCTTATGTGCACGTGAGGTTGGCTCATTAATGATTCTTATGTGAATAAAGTATCATAGCATGTTAACTAATTTTCTGGAACATCATTTATGTGGTAATGCAGGGCGGCAGACGTGGCACACCTGTATATCTGCTATATGTGCTTACTGTTTCTGGAGTTGCTCTCTTATGCCACTTGCGAAGCCCATTTTCCTATATCTCTGGTTCAATATTTCCTCAAGACGATATAGTTGAATTTAATCTCCAAACCCAAGTACAGAGTGCTAAGGTTACAGCTGTAACAGCGATGTCAGGATGCCTAGTGATTGGGCGACAAGATGGGTCAATCTGCTGTTACAGTCTGGGCAAGTTAGCTCTGAATTCACCAGGCAAGCCCATAAATGAGTTATAGATGGCTGTACCTTCAAATTTCTTCCAATGTTTTCTGAATGTTGCACTGTTTTCTGCTGTAGGTTTCTTGAATGAGCTCCGAGATGATGCTGGGATCGGACGTTTATGGTCTCTTGTGTCAAGGTACTTATTTTTTCCTAACAGTTCACCTGAGAACATTTGTATAGCATAGCTCCACCAGAAACTACATAGCCTAGGAGCATTCAATGCAATTTTCATACATTGTAGATTCTCTTTACATGTTAATTTAGGAAAAATTAATTACATGCCCCTGCAGAGTTTGCTACCCTAGGATTTGCCCTCCCCATGTTGCTAACATGTGGTCTGAGGACCACTTGTCAGTGATACATGGAGGGAGAAATCCTAGAGTGCTAGCCTATGCAGGGGGCATATAATTGATTCCCAGACTGTTGCAAGTCTGGGCTCAGCATATTTTGTTGTGTATGGAAGCCCAGTATTGTCTAAAACTTGTCTAGTTTTTGTACATATGACAATACATGTTGCTTACCATTTATGTAATATACTCCTCCATTGTTTTTTTTTTGCAGAACAAAGGCTGTGGGCCCTGTACAAGATATAGTAACAGCTACTGTAAATGAAAGGGAACTGCTGTTTGTTCTCCATCTGGATGGAAGTTTGCGCATATGGGATATTTTTAATCACACTAAACTTCTCAGTTACAATGTTCGCTCGAATGATATCGAAGGTAATTCGTGGTGGCTTTATGCGCTTCAGGAAAGGTCTTATACTGAATTGCTATTTGCTTATTTATGTTAATGTTCCTTGTAATAAGTGTTGCGTTGACATTGTCAGCACATGTTATGTCATTGTTTATCATGTTAAGCAACAACTTACAATCAAACAGTTACTAGCACACTCTGCTGAAGGCTCATATGATCTGCAAGCAGCTTGCTTGGTATGTTCATAGAATAGGAACAAGGAATGGATGCATCATGCAGTTGCACTAAATTATATCCCAGATTCCTAATAATTGGTCGAGTGTGGTAATCGTTGGTGATGGTAGCCTGGTATAACCAGCTAATCGAGTCTATTTCGGTGATTTCCATGAAATTTCTTGCAGAACAAAATAAGTATGGCAAGTGAAAAAAACTAGAAGATTCCAAAATAACAGAACAAAATACTCCCTCCATTCCAAAATATAACCAACTTCTAGTGTTCAAAATTTGTCCCAGAATGTAACAACTTCTCTACCTACTCTCTTATCTAGACCAATCACAATCATATCTCATTTAATTTCTCACCTACTTCTTCATCTCAAGTTCTCAACAGATCACAACCATCCCTCATTTAATTTCACCTCTCTCCTTAATCCCCATGAAGAACTCCAGAAGTGCCTGTATTTTGGTACTGAGGGAATAGCTAACATGTGGGGTCTATTTGTCAGCAATAGTTCCTTTTAAAGGTTTGATGAATCATTCTGAAAATTGTTAGACTGTAACAGCATTTGATGTACGAACACTTTGTTAGTGCATCACTGAATAACAACTGCTTCTGCAACTATCCCTTTCTTTTGGCTACCCTGGAATAAACTGGATATGTTTTACATACTTAAAAGAAAGGATGTATTTAAGTTGTTGCTTGCACTAATTGCTGTATCTTTTCTTGTTCTTGAATAGTGCATTTTCCATTAAAGTATTTTTCTATCTTTAGGTCAACCATCTAGGATATGGGTTGGTGATGCTGATGATGATCAAGAGTTGATTTTTTTGGCTGTTCTGCGTCAAGGCACTGTGGTATGTCAAGAAAAATGTCTCACCACTAAATTTACTTGGTCATCTGGAATGCACTGATTTTTCATGCTATGCCTTTTCACTTGTCAGTTGACTGACTTATAAAACACGATAACAGAACCTATAAAATTATGTCTGTTAAAAATGGATACATGCTTTTTGTGGGATAACATGGGGGTGAACCATTTCACTTGTCAGCTGACTGACTTATAAAACACAATGACAGAGCCTATAAAACTATGTCTGTTAAAAATGGATACATGCTTTTTGTGGAGTAACATGGGGGCGAAGTTGGTACATATTATATGCCTAATATGGGTCATCTAGAGTCCAAAATAAGGAAAACATTGCTTCATGAGTGATGTGTTACACCTTGTGTGGCAAAACATTGGATCTTAAGAGCAAAGGGAAGTTTGATTTATTAATGTCACTGGTAGAGCAAGTGGAGTTGGACAAATAGGCGATGGTGATTGTGGCCTGAATTTTGCAGTTTGTCCTGGCTCATGGGTGATTTTTGGAACGGAAACAAGAAAATGGGGTGGATGGAATACAGAGTTGTAGAGTTAACGATCTGCTAACAGATTATTATTTGTGAACTCAGACATTGTATCAATGATGAAACATGGTTTTTCTGTTGATAAGACAGGGATTTCCTGGTCACTGATTATGTCATCACAATATGCTAGGTGCTAATAATAATTTATTGTTGTCTTTGCAATAAGGTTTATTTCCTGTTTCCTTATTAAAATTTTCCTTTTGGTAATCCCACCAATCCATCCCAACAGTTTCCATTTGTAGATAGTAGATAGCCCGTTCATCTTAGTCTTCTGTTTCTAGATGCAGCCTCATATAGGAAACTGGGGCATTGACCTTAGGCTTAAACCTTAGATATCAGATTTTTTCCGATGTTCATGCTCATGTTAACCATTGTGTTAATTCTTTTTACCTATTGTTGATTACTCCCTCCGTCCCAAAATAGATGCCGCTGTTGGATTCAAAATTTGTCCCAAAAAGCTTGTCATTTTGGAGTACCTTTTGTCACATCAATCACCTCCAATTCAAAATTTTCTCCATCATACCCCCAACTACCTACCATACATTACTTAATAGAGGGCACCTATATTAATTTTTCCTAAACCATAATCTTTGCCAAATAACCTAGAACGACAACTATATTGGGACGGAGGTAGTATTTGTTACATGACATGGTATGATTGAAGCTGTTATTCTTTCAGCATTGTTTTTCTAAGTAGCTGATTAATTTACCTTTTTACACTGTGCAGACTGGAGCTTGTGATTGCGTTTCTGTATATGGTTTTAGTTTTGGTGCTGGTGAAAGGTTCTTGTTTTCTCCTGAACCTTCATTTTTTTCTATACCTTTGGTGGAGGTAAACAAAGTCATTACCGTATTGCATTATGATCCCTTATATTTATATATATATGGCCTTTTTGGGTTTCTGTTCTCAGAAGAGACAATTTTGAGTGCCTGTAGCAACTTGGTCCAGTGACTATGCTACCCGCTCGTAGAGGAGCAAATATATTCAACCTACTGATGTAGAGTATTTTGTTTTTTCTCAGGGAAAGCTTATCGACTTGAAAATAAGCATGGACAAGCTTTGGATACTTAAGGAAGTTGGATCAATGCTATATGAAATAGTGCAGTATGATTGTGATACGTAAGTATGCTGCACTGCACTGTTCCCTTATGAATTGTGAAATGCCGCTGACCAAATAGTTTTCTGCTCTGACTTTATGACTTTTTCATCAGTGAACCAGCACACAGTTTGTAAAACTCAAGCCTGTATTTTTTTTTGCACTTATAAAGATTCCCATTAAGTCGTAGAAACTAAAAGTTAGGTTTATAATTCTATATTGCCAAAACCTTGATTTCTTTTATAGGTCAAACCTGCTTTTGTTTCTTAGCCAATTTTAAGTGCCCACCCTTCTCTCTCTCTCTCTCTCTCTCAATATGTATAAATCCTAAACCCAGAAGCTAAACTGTATTAGGTCACTTTATGAGTGTTCAAATATTTACCTAAATGTAAATAACTGCAGTGAGATAATGCATTCATATGTGCTACAAGAAGTTTCTGTCAGTGACCAGTTGTTTCAAAGCTCTGAGAATACATTGGATGATTTGGTCTGGACAGCTGATTCAATATTCTCATCCAAGAAGGTAACTGTAATTTCCTTGAGGTTCCATTGTTCTAAATTGACATGTCATGTACACCTTGATGTTATTATTCATAGTTCTAGAATGATATGTCAAATATTGTTATGTACAGATAAGGTCACCTATTGATCTATATGACTTCTGGTTCAACTTGAATTATAAGGTTATTGCTTCACATTGCTGTTAGGTTTCTTGTCCTCTGAATGGATTAAACTCCTGACGTGTGTTTGATTCTTAAAAATGATTACTATTTAGACTACAATATTCGTAAACCCTATAATTGTCATTGATACGACTTTTTAGAGTTAGTTTATCATTTTTGCTCAATTGCTGCGGGATATATCCTTTAGCTATATAGATCTCATATAATTATTTTAGTTCTTTGTTGGCTGTGTGAAGCTTCTCAATGTTCTTCAGCTATGTAGACTTCTTTTGTATCTGTAGGAGCAGACATTCGGTTTTATTTCATCTATGTTTTTGCGGAGGCTACTTCAACCAGGAGTGAATCACAGTTCTGCTCTACGTGAAACCTTGTTGGAGCACAAGAGATTTCTATCCGATTCTTATTTCCAATCACTTACAACTAGTGGACTACGGAAAGAAATATTATCCACCATAGAACAAGAGGTGGTTTCCCTTTTCTTTTTACTCATTTCTTTGTTTCTATCAGGCTTCATGATTTCTAGTTCTAGCATGTGGCTTGACTGAATTTTCATATATCTCATTCTTTTAGGGAAGTTCACAGACTGCAAGTTCGACTGCTTATCATTGGAAAAAGTTTTCTGCACGGTATCTCCACAATTGGTGCTGGAACAATAGGCCATATGGGTTACTTCTTGATACTAACAGAGAAGTTTTTGGTTTAATAAGAAAGGGTTCATTTTCTCTCTTCCGTTGTTTGGAGGGCATGGAGCAGTTTATTTATGGTTTGTTACCTTTTTCTAGTATTTAATAATTATATTAAAATTATTTTCAACTATCATTATGAGCTATTCGGTAACGCCTATGAGCATTATACATCAGGTTCCTCTGATGACCTGCGCAATCTTGATATCCTTGGGGTGAACCCATCGGATAATATATCTCAGTCTGAAATCCTCATTGAAGTTCTAAGGTGCATGGATCATATAAGCCATCTGCTGGGGAGATCTGCTGCTGCAATATATCATGAATCCCTCATCAGTTCTGTTATATCACCTGATGAAATTGTTTCTCAGATCTTAAAGATTCTGGGCACTGGTTTCAGTCCTCAGTCTCCCTCAGCCCTCATTACATTATTTGGAACAGATGCTTATGCAGAAAGAAGGCAGACCGCTCACAAGAGTCAGAGGAAGTTTTCTGTTGAAATGTTACTATCTTTTCGTAAATTGCAATCAAAGTCGACATCCTGGTCAGCAGTATTTGATGTGATTGAGAACTTCATGAAGTATTTGAACACAAACGTGACCATCCAAGAGTATGAGCTGAAGAGAGTTTGCAATGTGAATACTGCGTTATTGGTTCAAGCTACTTCACAGGTAGCAAGAACAATGTTCGAGTCCACTTTTGATCTATATCTGTTCCTCAATTATCTGGTCTCCATTGGTGGGCAGGTATGCCATATTTTTGTATTTTGATATTTCTGTCTGATGTGCATGTGTTTACTTAACTCGGCCACTGTGCTACCTCTGATACGTACTGCTATATAGTTCAATATTATATTTCTTTTAGGGAAGTTCACAGACTGCTAGTTCGACTGCCATGCTATTACTCAAACTTGCTCCGGTTGGTCAGAACTGGCTAGGACATCTGCAAATACTGATTAAGATGTTAAAGTGTTCTTGACTTGCATCAATTGGAAGATAGTAGACATATAACCATAAGATCCTTGTCAGACCTTTGTGTTGTTTGTGGTGTTAAACTGTAATTCAATGCTTCTTCATAGATACACACTATTCTTGACTGGTAAACGTCTTTCTTTTATCTGTTTCATTAATAAGAACAATGTCCAAATCAGGTCTCCTTGTCACAAAATGATATTGCCAGAATAAAACTGAAGTTGTTCCCAGTGATTCAAGATATACTGGGACAGTGGATTGTCCTCCACTTTGTAGGAATTTCACCTACTACACCACCAACTATTGAGGATTTCAGCTATCAGCTTTCTTCTCTCCAGCTAGGTCAGAACTTACAGTACATTTTGTTGCTCTCTTACTTTTACTTTTGTTCTTTGATATGTATTCTCTTGAATGGGGACCCTTCCTCTACAGTATGTTTCCCGCTGTATTATGACAAGGCAACGAGTCCATACAGATAAAAACTGATATGCCAATGTTGGGAATAATTAACTATTTGCCACTCTTACGAGTGGTTCTAAAGGATTTGCCACTGGACCCACATGTTGGTATGCTGTATTCAATAATGGCTTAAATGGAAAGTGGGTGCACATGATACTTGTCTCATTAGAGACTAAAATCACTAGATCAATTCATCTTCAATTGCTTAATTGCTAATGTATCATGTTACCCATTTCATGGGAATGGCTTGACTTGACCCCTAAGAAACAATCTGTATCTCTAAGTTAGTTTGTTTCTAATATATGGAATGTATCTACATGGAGGAACTCAACTAAACAATGAAACTAATTATTATTTTTATCTCTTATTGCCAAGTAATAGCATGGCAGGAGGCCCATGGGAACAGTGCACTGCGGCCACAGGGTACTGTTCACACGAAAATTTTCTGCACTTGCCATGGGTCTGGGTGCACCACAAATGATTCTAAAATCTAAATGCAATGCACACCTAGCCTCTTATGATATATGGGATCTTATATTCACACTTGGCTTAATATTTATAATGCCACTTTCTTGTGCTTTTCTTGATAAAGAAAGAACACGTCCTCATTACTTCATTCTCACAGGAAAAGCTGATGACCTGTCTTTGCACAGAAAGTTTGGCTGCTCTTATTTTACATTGGCTTGTTTACTTGATTTTCCAAAATCTGCTGACGGGGATGTTCTCTCACCCTGGTTTCCTAATCCAACTGAGTTGGTCAACTTGGTAAGGAGGTTTAGTGGCTCAATTATGAGTGAAAATATTGCTGGAAATGCTGACTGTTTCTTGAGTTCCACAATTAATCTGGCAGCAGTTCTTGTTCGCCATGGTCAATATGAAGCTGCTCAGGTATCTTTCTTGTTGGTGCCCCTTAAATTCATTAAACGTTTATTGTTTGATGTGGTTCTACCATTCTATTTACAATAAATATGACAACCATTATCCTTATTTCTTCTGAAAGAGTCTTCTGGGCATTCTCGACACACACATGAACTATGTGAAAGCATCTCAAGCTGACCAGGATACAGATCTTGCACGCTCATCATGCCTTCATCTCAATGGATTTTGCCTTCTGGTGCTTGCACGTGATGAAGCAAACATTGTCCTGAAAGAATCCAAGGTTCATGAAGCTATCCGATGCTTCTTCAGGTACCACCTTCCACACTATGCGGAGTTGTGCACTGTGATTTACTGCTTACCAGAGGATATTGAGTCTCATGAAGTGGTCTTAGTGTTATAGATTATGTAACATTGATATGTTACAGCAATCTGAATTACTTGTGATGTTTCTAGCTGTATTATTGTATAATGTGCAATTCAGCACTTAGTGAGCCATTTCTCAGTTTTCTGTTAACTAATTATTGAAAATATTTGTTATTCGATAATGCTCACTGCCTTACTGGTTCTCATAGAAAAGCCTAAGTGACCAGGCATTGAGCTGATCTCCAGTTTATTTTGCTGCTTGAATTCAGAAAAAAAAATGTTTGATTTATCTTGCATCAAAGTCAGAAAATGTATATCTGCATCCTTAATCGCAAATTATAAAAAATGGCTGCTTCACACTTCTACTTTATGTGTTATCCAAGGTTGAACAGTGGACATATGATTATTTGCAGTTATGGAAGTTTCTGAAAATCCTATTTCCCTAATTAATATTCAGTGCGTAAAGGAAAGGTCAGTTTCATTTGGCTGCATAAGTTATCAGTATACAAATGCAATATGTTAGTAGTAAATTCGGCATCACAGAACTAGTTTTACCAGTAAATCCAATACATGGTTTGCAACATATGTACTGATGTGAGAAAGAAATGAATGCGGAATTAGGCTGCATATCTGGTCCTTTAGCAAACAATCAACTACTTGTGCTATCAGCTTATCAGCACAGCAGTATCTTTCCACATAAAATTTCAATGATTTCACCTGATATGTGATATTGGGGTTCACTGTTCTCCAAGCATTTCAATGGGATGAGTTCACATTCTCTGCATTATAAATTATTCCGAACTTAGGCAACAGCAAAGTTTTAAGCATCACATCAAAGCATATCCGATGGTCAGGAACTCAGGACCACCTTAGATTAATAAAAAACATAATCTTTTCTTTTGGTTGTGTGGGGTGTGGTGGGAGTACAAAGTTCAAATAGAAAATTATGGGGAAAAGGCTAAAAGCCTTGACAATCCACTAAAACAAAATGCTTGGATTTGTGTACTTGCCTAAATTTATTCTCTTTTATCAATCTCTTTTTCTATATTGGTGATTGGCTGGCTCATTAATGGTGTTAATATGCTAATTACTTTGTAAAACAGAGCTGCATCTGGGCAAGAAGCTCCAAAGGCTCTTCAGAAGTTCTCTGTGGAAACAGGGTTTCAAATCTCCGGTGACATCATTTTCCTAGTTCTGCTTGTATTATAATTCACCTCTACCATTTCCTAATTCTTTTTTATTTTTCCAGGGGAATGCAGATCTTTTACAGCATGGAGGCTTCGTTACTATGAGTGGGCAATGCAAATTTTTGAGCAGCACTCCATGAGTGAAGGGGCATGCGAGTTTGCTCTTGGTGCTCTTGAACAAATAGATAGCATCGTCGATTTAGATAATGGAAGTGAAGCTGAGGATATCCCTGAAACTACAACTATGATTAAAGGGCGACTATGGGCTAATGTATTCAAGTACAAATTGGATTTGAAAAATTTTCAAGAGGCGTATTGCGCAATAATCTCAAATCCAGATAATGATAGCAAGTATGTCTGTTTAAGACGTTTCATCATAGTTCTTTGTGAGCTTGGCGAGACAAAGGTTTGCTCTGTTTATTTACTGTCTTCACTAAATGCATTGAATAATTTACTAATTTACCAGTTGTTTTACCAGATGTCCATAGACACTCTTAGGCTGTGTTCTTAACTCAAAGTTCCCAACCTCCACTCCCTCGTTTCCCGCGCACACGCTTCCCAAACTACTAATGGTGTGTTTTTTGTAAAGTTTTCTATATGAAAGTTGCGTAAAAAATCATAGTAATCCATTTTTCAAGGTTTTTTTTCTAACTAATACTTAATTAATCATGTGCTAATAAGCAACCTTGTTTTCCATGCACGGGGGGAGAGATTCCCAACCTCTCCTCCCGAACACAGCCTTAGTGGTCATGACACCTGTTTACCTAATTAATCTGTGGGTCGTTGCTTGGTAATTGTCATGTTCAAGTTCAACCACAATTGATTCCGTTTGCCTAATGTTTTTACGCTCTTCACAAAAATAGCATACTATGTGTGATGTTGGTCGGCAGGCTTTGCACTAATCATTGCCAGTTAAAAATCATATAAGTATGCTATTTTGTGTATTTTGAGTTACTCAGTTCACTTCTTTTACTGTGTGCGAACCATGTTCACTGGATGATTAGAGTTTAAAGGACCTTGCTATCTGTTGAATTAGGTAATTTGCAATGGCGAGATACCATTCACTGGCTTGGTGGAAAAAGTGGAGCAAGAGCTCTTCTGGAAGGTTCTCTCTCTCCCCATCTTTTGAATTACAAAAACTTTTATTTGTGCAACCTGTAATGCAATATATTTTATTTAACAGGCTGAGCGCTCGGATCTTTTGTCTAGACCAAATCTTTACAAGGTCCTTTATTCATTTGAGGCTTATAGGAACAATTGGAGGAAGGCTGCTGCACATATGTATAGGTATTTCGTTAGATTGAGTAGAGAGGGTAATGCTGGTGGAACCCGGCAACTTTCTCATACATTGCAAGAGAGGCTGCATGCTTTGTCTGCTGCTATCAATGCATTGCAGCTTGTTGATCCCTCATTCGCTTGGCTTGATTCTGTTTGTGAAGCGGATGATCAAATCTCACCAAGTAAAAAGCCCTGTAATCTTTTGATGAAGAACTGTATGTTCTGTTACTCAAGCACTGTTTAGCTGGACCTTTGTACATCTCATTTCGTTATTGACTACTTGTTTGCTGTTTACAGCTGCTTTTGGCACAGATTCAGAGCTGTCTAGGTTGAAGTTTTGTGTTGACATTGAAATTCTCGAAAAGGAATATACACTAACAGAAGCACTCTATATGCTCAGCACTGTAAATTCTAGATTCAACTTTTCAGGTATATGTCCCCAAAGTATCGTGCAAATAATTTAATATTACTTGAGACTTGAATATATATCCAAGCTTTGGCAATCAATATCTCGTGGGACTGCAGATAACCAATCTATTGAAGCACTGACGGATATTCTTATAAATGAGAATATGTACGACATGGTGTTCACCATTGTGCTGAAATTTCGGAAGGAGTCAGGAATGAAAAGGTGACCAGTTTCCCTGTATTGATAGATTCTTGCTTCTTCGTGTCGGCGCTTCTTTGCATTATCTAACTTTTAATGTTTCATTTTCTCATGGTAGGGAGTTGGAACGTGTATTTGCAGCAATTGCGCAGCAATGCTGCCCTAATAGAGTGGGCAACTCAGGGTGTGTTAAACTGTGTTTTTTTGGTCCATTCTGGTTCTCTGGAATTGATTTTAGTCTAATTGGCATCCACTATTCTATTGTAGCAACTATTATATATTAATAATAATGGTGCCCTGCCAAAAAAAATAACAATGTTGTATTTTATGACCTTCTTACAGGAAGAATTTACTGCTGCCATCTTCCGATGATGATGCCTGTGATGGCAATGGTAACAGTATTGCCATGGCTCATCAATCCCAGGGGAGTTGCCATTGGGAGACTCTTGAAATATATTTGGTCTGTGCTCTTTGCTTTTTCCTATATTTAATGTTTCTCTGAAATGAGCTTCTTTTTTACTTAACTTTGTTAGAGAATCTTAAAGTATTGCATGATACTCCGACTGTTCTGAAGGAGCTTCTCTGTCAATTTCATAAACTACAATTTTTAACTCTGTTCTGCAGGAGAAATACAAAGATTTGCATCCTAGGTTGCCTGTCATTGTTGCGGAAACACTTCTTTACACAGACCCTGAGATTGAGCTACCACTTTGGCTAGTCCAGATGTTTAAGGTGATCTCCTGATGTATATATTCTAATAGTTACACCAACTATTATCTGATTGACCACTGACCTTCCATTTGTACCTTTAGACCACCAAGGCTGGTAACAGGATGATTTCATGGGGTATGTCTGGCACAGAGGCAGACCCTGCTACATTATTTAGATTGTACATAAATTATGGACGGCACACAGAAGCGGCCAATTTGCTGGTCGAGTACTTGGAATCATTCACATCATCGGTAATAGATCAACAAACTCAAATATCCAATTGCAAGATGTTTGCAAGCACATGTTGACAGTTACACCCTTCGAAACCATCCTGCAGAGACCTGTGGACGTTCTCCACCGCAAAAAGATGTCAGCGGCCTGGTTCCCATACACTGCCATCGAGAGGTTGTGGTGTCAGCTAGAAGAGATGCAAAATGCTGGCCACAGCGTGGATCAGTGCGACAGGCTCAAGAAGTTGCTACATGGATCTCTGATTAGTCACCTGCAGCAAGTTAGTACTACATCTAATGGCTTCCCCTTTCAATTCTGGATTTGTTTTCTAGATGTCTCCTGTTGACCACAATCTGTTTGTTTATGGGCTTCCAGGTTGTGGTTGATTCAGATGATGTGCTTTCATCGCTTGGAGGAGGGAAAGGAATGGGGAGCCAAAGCAATTGAGTTTTTTTTTTCTTTTGTTCCTTAGTGAGCGAGCAACTGAGATCTTGTGAGCCGTGGATTAGTGTCAGCTTACTGTTGTACTGTCATGTGTATGTAATAGTTGTATGGCTAATGCCTGTGAGCCATGTTCATCACCTGTTTCTGTAGACAAGGGCAATTTTCCATTTGTAAGTCCTTTTAACACTTATGTGAAAAATGCCTCGCTCCTTTGAAGAGTACCAGGCTACCAGCAGACACATAAAGTTTCCTCGTGCCCTTTTGGGTTTGTTTGATATCGCCGTTCTCGGAGCTCAGCGTCTGGAGTTATGAGGGATTATTTTGTACGGTAAATTATTTGATAGGATGTTTTCTGAAAATTTCCGTCACAGCGTTCTTATCCCTCGTCCAATCCAGACAGCCAAAGGCGGTCGGAGACTCGGTGTCGTCTTCTCCTATCACCCTGGGAATGACTCAATTACACTCAAAAGAATGGTCCTTTTTGCAAATCTGATGTATGAAAAAAATTGTGACCCCCATCGTTCGGGACATATACGTAAATGAAAAATAATTTATGAATAAAACTTTTATATATGATATATGTGTTTTTAGCGATCTAAAAGCAAAGACTGAAACTTTAGTAAAAAAACTCTAAAATGAACTCTAAATATAAAGTTAAAAATTTTCTATTTTGGCTATATGCGAAAAGATTGGGCTGTGTGTCTTATTGCCCAATCTAGACCGTCTATTTACGATCGGACGGTCTTAAAAGATCCAAAGGATCGGCCTTTTTTTCTCCGACCCCCTGGGAGTCAGGAGGGGCCTTTCCGCTAAACCTCCGGCCTTTTGGGCCTTATCGCCTTATCGGGTATGGGCCGCTCAAACGGGTATGGGCAAAAGGTGTGGGCCCGAGAGTGAGACACGCGGAGCTCTCGCTCCGCAATGCAACGGCATCTTTTCTTTCTCCCCTCTCCCCGACTCATCCAACCGCCATCGCACACACTGACACACCTCTCCCTCTCCCTCCTCACCACCACCACCACCCCCCCGCGCCCCGTGTCCTCGCCGTCGCCGTCCTGTCCCATCCCGTGCGTCCTTGTTAACAATGAAATTTGGTAAGCCCAAAGTTATCATCGGCTTAGAGTTAATATTGGCTTCAAAGTTCTAGAATCAGCCGATAAGAGTTAAGTCGCCACGATGTCATATTCTTGGTGGAGTCGGATCAATCAAACAAAGCTTATCTACAAGAGTCCGAGTTCAAAAAAAGATGCGACATGACAGTTTATCTATTAATTAGGCATAGTTTGTAAGTTTCCTTTTATCTTTAGGAAAGTGTGTTTAGTGTCCGATAAGGACTTTATCTTTTCCTTTTTAGTTTCTTTCTTGTCCAACAAGGACTAGTATCTCTATATGGGTATAAATATTTACACCTGGGGTCATTGTAATCTATCAATCTATCGATCAATAAAACTACCCTCGGTGCATCGCCACCCTTTTCCCTAACGTTTTTACTTATCTTCCAGAGGAATTTGGGCACCTGACGTAGGCTGCATCGGCTTTCAATCTCCAGCAAAGGGGTAAGTCCTACGCTCTGTCGGGCCCTGGTGAATCTGTCGGCTACGTTGGTGTTGTTCAAGGCTGCATCGATTCGATCTCTTGGATCGCTCTGGTTTGGTTGATATATTTGCCTACTTGATATCTCAATTCTACCTCTAATTGCATTGTGTTTAGAGACGCATCAGTTTAGTTGGGACTGTCTCGGTTAGGTCTGATCTCCTGTCTTAGCCGATATATCTCTACAATCACAATGTCGTTATAAATAGATTTGTTATATCCATCACATTAGATAGATCTATCGGCTCATCGAGTATTAGATTATCATATACAATCTCGGGCTGCATCGGTTAGATTCGACCTACTAGATTGTTGTTGATAATATAAGTCTTGTTAAGCCGATAGGTTCATGCTAATGTTTTATCGGGATGCTAGCCGATAAGTTATCTGGACGTTGCATCGGCTTGTAAGGATTGCATATACATATAAGTTGGATTTAGCCGATGGCAACAAAGGTTTCACTGTTTAATCTAATCTTATGGATTTTATGACATTGGACCTCCAGCCGATGTATGCTTTAACCTTCGGATCAATATTTGTTCTACTATATCATATTGTTAATCGATTGGTTTTTACTGGGTTATATTGCTATATTATATTATCATCAGCCGATTGTCTTTATATCATTATCTACATTGGACATATAGCCGATTGCTTAAACCCTATCGCTATCGGCTGGTACCGGCATCGGCTATTATCGGCTATCGACTGGAACTACTCCATCGGCTTGTCAGCTGATCGGCTGTTTGATCTATTATTTGTATATCTTGTCACTTGCAGAATCAAACTGATTGGCACGCCCGCATCTCATCAATCTTTGGACCTGCACAGGAGTTAAGCAGATCTCCCAGGCCGGTGTGTTTGATTTTTTCGTCAACAGTCCTCCTCCTCCCTCCGCCGCCGCGCGCGGGCGCGTCGCAGGTGATCTTCCCTTCCGATCCCTTCTCGTGGACGAACTGGTTGGGGAGGATTGCTTGGGAGGACGATGGCGCGCGGCCGATGAGTACGCGCACCACCTCCTCCACCATCAGCGTCCCGTAGACGAACACGCGGTGGGAAGCCGAAGCCGCTGCCGCCATGGGGATGGGGTGAAGGAAGAGCAGCCGACAGGCGGTCAGGCGGCAGGAGGAGGATGAAGACAACTGACGAGCAAGGAGAAGCGAGGACCGACGAGTCTATGACAGGAGGGGACAGAGACCGACGATTCTATGACGGGTGGGGCCAGATTAGCTAGCAATGTAGGTCTCGATGGCGAGATGGCTAACGGGCGACTGCTAGCGTTCGTTTTTTTTCTTTTCATCTTTTTCATCTTTTTAGTAAGTTTATACATCTAAAGTTTACACATCTAAAATTTATCCATCTAAAATTTATAGAGCGAATGTTTATAAGTCAAAATTTTATATACCCGATTTAAATTCAAATTCGGATTCAAATATTTTATATATAAAATATTTTTATACATAAAGTTTATGCGTGCAAAGTGTATGGTACAAAGTATATGTACATGAATGAGAGTATTATATTTTTTTTTCTAATTTTCTTTTACTATTTTTTTAAAATTTATGATGTAATAGAAAAGTAGAAAAGAGATATGAAAAAGGAATATTAGGGGGGAGGGACGGGTGATCGCTAGGAGGAGAGGGAAGCGATCCCTCTCCCTCAACTCCCGGTCTTGCCCAGCCCACCCACTCCCTCCTCCACACGCGTCCTCCCCCTCCCGGCTCCCTTCCCTCTCCCCAGTCCCCACGCGCGCCCCCTCCCTTCGCTTCCTGGTGCGCGTCCCCCCTCCCGGCTCCCTCCCGTTCCCGGCGACCCCACGGCCCCACCCACGCCCGGCGGGCCTCCTTCCTCTCAATCTCTCTCTCTCTCCCTCCCTCCTTTTTTTTTCTTCTCCCTCCTCTTATTTTTTCCTCCTATTCTCCACGGCCCCACCCACTCCCGGTAGGCCTCCTTCCTCTCGATCTCTCTCCTGATCTCTCCTTCCTTTTTTTTTTCTTCTCCCTCCTCTTATTTTTTTTCTCATATTCTTTTCTTTTTTTTAGAAAAAATAAAAAAAAATTGTTGAATTCAAGACTAGAACCCATGATCCCCCATGGCCCCACCCACTCCCGGCGGGCCTCCTTCCTCTCGATCTCTCTCCCGATCTCTCCGTCCCTTCTTTTTTTTCTTCTCCCTCCTCTTATTTTTTCCTTCTATTCTTTTCTTTTTTTTAGAAAAACTAAAAATAAATTGGTGAATTCAAGACTATAACTCTCTCCCGATCTCTCCGTCCCTTCTTTTTTTTCTTCTCCCTCCTTCTCTTATTTTTTCCTTCTATTCTTTTCTTTTTTTTAGAAAAACTAAAAATAAATTGGTGAATTCAAGACTAGAACCCATGATCTCATAGTTCATAACAAATTTTCCTAACCAATTCACGTTATGACACTTTGTGATTTGAGATTATTGTTTTCTTTCTTATATATCTGTTCAAATTTTGTGAACACAAACCCGTTATGTTACTGTAGAAAATCATACATTGTTACTATGATTCGGTAGTAACATTATCGCAGAACTGCAGTAACACGATATAGTAACACGACATGTTACTGCGAAAAATATGGGCCGTTACTGCCAAATTTATAGGTCGTTACTGCACTCTTTTAGTAACATCGTGATGAAATTGCAGTAATAGAGAACATATGGTAGTAACGGTACTACTACAGTACCACTGCTTCTGCATAGCTAAATTTTTAAATCTCAATCTTGTGCAAAATACAAGTGCTAAAAAAGTGCATGTGCATGGTCACAAGTTAACACAAGTGCTAAAAGTATTTCTCTTTGTCCATACAAAGATACATAGTAGCAAGCTTAGTACAAGTAAACTTTTAGAATTCTAATCTTTAAACAATAATATCTCTCACATCACAAATTATTTTTTAGAACCGTTTTCACCATAATGCTTTAAAACGATGTTACAACGAGACAATAGTCATGTTACTACATGATGATCGAGACAAAAATACTTTTATAATATTGTTACTGCGGAAAGTAGTCGTGTTACCACACATTGATCGTCGCGTTACTACGTCGTTCCAGCGAGACGAGAACTAAAAAGAGATAAATCTCAATCTGTAGAGAGCAATATCTCTCACATTTTGTTTTTCTAATCCGTTTGCACTATGATGTTCATAAAAAAATGCTTAACGAAACTAGATCCATCATGACTACTTTTTGACGTTGTTACTGCGAGAAAGTTGCCTTATTTCTACACGATGATCGTCCTGTTACTGCACGATTCGTGCAAGACGAGAACATCAAACTATCTTGTTTCACTCCTATATAGGGGCTGTGCTCTGTTTGTTTGGTTGGTACATGTTGTCCCTCCAAGTAGTTTTTTAAAAAAACAAGTCCTTACAAGTAGACATGCCACACCAAACAATCTGACACAAAATTGAAGTGGCACGGGAGCACCTCCCTGGTCAACCAACCTGCGTATAGTAGAATGCATGTCCGCAACTTTTTTTAACCCAGTGATACCACACACGACTCTCTTCAACAATTTTATTTTAAACGTATCGTAGGGAGTGGATTCGAGATGATGTCCCCTCGTTATTTGCATGCCACTTAATTAATTATAAAAAAATTGAAAAAAAATAAAAGATATATTAACATGTGATATATCACTTCACAAATAGGCAAGTTA